GCTTTGCAGACTTAACCTTCACAGCTCATTTCCATTAACATTTCTCCTTTGAACTTGGGGTCCCTGTGGCCTGTCTCTCTTTCCCATCTCTGCCTCCTTCACCCCCCCCCCCACTACCCAGGTGGTTAAGGTTTCAGGAAAATGAGAAGAGGCTGAGAAAAAGCTGAAGAATGTGGGGGCAGAAAAAGGACAATTGATTTTAATTTCAGCTGTGTTCTTCATCCAGAAGCTTCTGTGCCTGGGGGAGTGGGCAGCTGCCTCCCTGCTCTGAACTCCCCAATGTTCATTAAACTATTGTTTTGAGATATCATTAACAATAATAATAATAATAATAATAAGTAGTAGTAGTAGTAAAATTGGTTAAGTGTATTCTTTGTGCCCAACGTGCACTGAAACCTTTCACTCCTTATCTCATTTAAGCCTCACAACAACCTTTCAAGGTAGATGTTATTATTATACTTATAGATACAGATCATGGAGGTACAGCAAGTTTAAGTAACTGGCACAAAGATGGAACTCAGACTTGTCCTATGCATTTTGATTTTGGGCCCTGGGTGTGTAATCACTGCATTAAACTGCTTCCCACATATTATAAATGTAATATTTTGTTGTTAAAATTCAGATGCTATCCAAACATGCATAATGTGACAAAGTACAACAAATGTTGACTTGCTTCCTGGGCTTGTATATCTATTTCCTTTGTCAGCTTAGGGAAATTTTCAGTCATTATTATTTCTTCAAATAGGTTTCCAATACCTTGCTCTCTCTCTTCTCCTTCTGGTAACCCTATAATGCGAATGTTGGTGTGCTTGATGTTGTCCCAGAGGCTCCTTAAATTCCCCTCATTGTTTTTGGATTTTTTTTTTCTTTTTACTGTTCTCATTGGGTGTTTTCTGCTATCTTATCTTTAACATTGCTGGTTGGATCCTTTGCTTCATCTAATCTACTGTTGATTTCCTCTAATGTATTTTTCATCTCAGTTATTGTATCATTTATTTCTGGTTGGTTCTTTTTTATGTTTCCTATCTCTTTGTTGCAGTTCTCCCTGAGATCACTGAGCATCCTTATAACCAATGTTTGGAATTCTGTGTCTGGTAGATTGCTTGTCTCCATTTTTGTTTAGTTCTTTTTCTAAAGTTTTGTTCTGTTCTTTTATTTGGGAAATGTTTCTTTATCTCCCCATTTTGGCTGCCTCTCTGTGTTTGTTTTTATGTAGGGCTGCTATGCCTTCTGGTCTTAGTAGAGTGAACTTATGTAGTAGGTGTCCTGTGGGACCCAGTGGTGCAATCTCCCTGGTCACTTGAGCTGGGTGTTCCAAGTGTGTCCCTTGTATGGGCTGTGTGTGCTCTCCTGTTGTAGTTGAAACTTGATTGCTGTTTGCATGTCAGTGGGAGGGATTGACCCTCAGACTGATTGGTTGTGAGGACTGTCTGTGACTACAGTGGAGGAATTGTTGTGGAGGAACTGACTCTGTAGATCAGGGTTCACTTTAGCATGCCTCTGGGGCCTGCCCAGTCTGCCCTTTGGGTGTGTCATCTTGGAGGTGGCTGGGTGATGGTCCAGCCCAGCCCAAACCTGGCCACTAGGACTGTCAGCCCCGGGGCATCCTGGGAGAAGAACTGCTGTAGGCCAAGTTCAGCCACAGTCTGTGCCCTGCCCGGGGCCACCTGGCATGAGCCNCTTCCTCACTGGGGGCTTGTTGAGAAATCTGGCCTTTTGGAAGAAAGCATTTGGCAACAGACAAGGAAGCCTTGTGAAGAGACTGCAGGAGTTGGTGGATCCCAGTGGGCTGGCAAGGGCCTCCCAGAGCCCTGATGAGGTTTACTGAGCACCGTAATTTCATGATCAAGCACAGGCTTGTCTGTGAAGGAGGTTTGGCGACAGTCTCCCTGCTTCTCAGAGGTCCTTGGAAGGGGTAGGCTGCCATTGTTAGCCCTCATAAATCGCCAATAAAGGATAAATCCACTGTACCTGCCTTCTGTCCTGAAATTCTGTATGTTATTTCAGCATGTTCCCACTCTCCTTTGAAACTGGGAGACAAACAAGGGCTGACCAACTCCTTTCCATCCTCTGCTGAAATAAAGGGATAAAATAAAAAGCACAGTGACTATAGGACTAGGGCATTGCATGGAACTGAGAGACACAAGTCTACTGAAAGGACGGTTACAGCAGAGTATTTCAGACTAGTACTGAAGTCATTGGAGGATTAAGGAAATACACTTCCTTTCTGCCAGGTGAGACTTAAATCATAGCATTCCAGGTCAGCTGCAGCCTTTGTCACAGAGGCTGTAGCAAAACCTCATCTGCCCTGGGAATATGGTCACTCCCAGCTCTCATTCACTGCGGGGCTTTGGGTTCCAGGCAACAGGCCAAGTGCTGTTCAGTCAATTGTAACAAGAACCCTAATAGGAGGGGAGCCACCATTACCCAATTTTATAGAACGACTGAAGCAGGGCCAGGACAATGTTACCAAGTGCCACCACGCCACAAATCTGTACTGCTCCACAAAAGCTGGGGCTCCATAATCAGCAAAGGAAATATGGTGATTGGCCTCCAAGGCTGACCCCACGATGCCACTTCTTGAGGATGTGCATGCTGGTGTCCCACCNCTCTATGTTCAATAGAAGGTCCCCAGGTGTACCGCACACTTATGTCTGCTATGAGAAAGCTACTCAATGTATTGAAACAAAAAATCTCCTGATTTCTCCTTGATTTTAGGTGTTTGCTAAGTCAGCAAATGTCATCGTTAAAGGTAGATACCATTTCTGAACGCAGGCCCAAGCAGTGTTTTCAGAGCTACCTGTGACCACAAAAGAGCATTAGAAGAGCTCTTCTGAACACCCAGCATCTCCTGAGGTCACCTGGAAAATGTTGGTCCCCTAGGGAAAGGACAGCCTGCGGCTAGGGTAAGGGGCCCTGCTGAGGAGGGGATGCTGAGGCGGGGTCTCCAGTAGGCTGCCAGGCCAAGTTGGGGTGTGGTGGGCCCCAGGAATTGTGATGTCCACAGCTGGCAGCATGGTCAAGAAGTGTGCGTGAGTATGCCCTCACTCCAGCTTCACGGAGCTGGCAGGAGCCCCTCAGGTCCAGGAGCCAGGGGGTTGGATTCAGGGAGCACTGGGGACCTTCCTCTAGGCCAGAGAGAGGGACCTGGGCCTGAGTGAAAGGTGAGAGGTCCCCTTCCACCCAGACTACCCCATCTCCGCGGGCTGCCTTCCACACTTGAGCCCTGATAGCAGGCGGCTCAGAGAGCGCAGCCAGAGGCCTTGGGTCCCCAGGAGCTGGACCTGATAGCATCAGTTTCTTCTGGGAAGCTTTTGATTTACATTAATTTACTCTTATCTTTACCACAGGCAACACACTCTGATCTTCTCAATTACTTCATTAACAAAATTTCTGGTCACAACCCACTTAAGTGACTTCATACACTCAAGTGTTTCCACCCTTGGTCTGAATGCCACCAGCCTTGGCAAACTCAAGTATCATCTCCTGCCCTGACTGCACACTGGGGCGTGAAGGAGTCAGAAAGGCCCCAGAGGCTTATGGAGTGGACCAGTGGATGGGCTGACCCCTCCCCAAGCCAGCCTGGTTGCCTGCCAGGGACAGACAGCCACATGGCTGCATCGCGAAAGGCTCCCTAACACAGGCCCTCTGCCCAGGAATCCACACCCAAGTTCCTGACCTAGCCCACCCTTACCTATGAGGCCAACATTTGCTGCAAGGTCGTAATAATAGGAAAAAGCATAAAAATCCACATCCTTCACTTCTTCCGTTCTGTGCACTTTACTTTGAAGGATTTCTGACACTCTGCTGGCACACAGCTGGTGGAGGTTCACTGTGGGTAAAACGCAAAAGTAGGGTGAGCNTCCTGCATACTATACATTCACCGCAGAACGACTGTGAACCTGGGAACACACTTGCACAAAGCGCACGGCCCACATCTCCCATTGATGAAGCTTGCCACGCCAATACTGGAGGGCCGAGTCAGCATCCTGTGGAGCTCAAGGGAGAAGAGCCATGAGAGGGCGATTCTGAGAGGGCTGTTCTGCGGACTGCGGCAACAGCTGACCAGAGGTGGGTTGTGGCTCCTGACACTGCTCAGCTGCACATGGCTCACGGCAGCAGCACATTCACTGGGGCTCAGAACACAGTAGCCACATAACCACTCAGCACTGCACAACAGAGACGTCACTCACACAGCACAGCCATAAATATTTTACAGCAGTAAAAACTCACATTCAGGCTTTCTTGAAGTGCCAGGGCACAGGAGGACCATGCAGAGGTACTTCCCCGAGCCCTTCCTCCTATTCAGTGTCAACTCCATCAGTAAACCCTGAGCCATCCAAGGACTGAGGAAACAGACCTCTGGATGACTTTATTTGTCCACGCCCAAGGAGGAACAAACATATTCAAGTCCAGAGTTCACAGCATCCTGCCTGACTCACCGTTTCAGAGGGCACAATGGTTTCCACTCAGGTCACCCTGAGAGCAGCTAGGACACCCTGCACAACCTATCACCGACTCTTAGGGAGAAGGTGTAGAGGTCTGCCCTGGGATGGAGGGAGGGGGGTGTAGACAGGGGCAGGGACACAAAACAAGATTCCAGACACAGGACGGATGTCACAGCTGCCTAACCCTACAGATAGGGATAGTGGGGGTGGGGGGTTGTGCTGTCCTGGCTCGGCACATGCCCTTTCCCTGTCTGGTTTACTCTCCACCTGGAACTGAGGAAGGCAGGAGGAGGTGTTGGGGCCTGGGCCAAGTTCCAGCCCTCTGTCAGTCCAGGGGCAGGTCTGCAAGGGCGCAGGGAGGAGGGGTCTCGGCCCAAGACATGGCCTCCTCACAACACGTCAAGGGATCCCAAAGGCTCTGTTCCCGTGAGGACAGTGGGCAACTCAGCCACTACAAGGCCCAACTCTTCTGTCCTTTGAGGGAGTCGATGTAATGAAAAATGGCC